TGTCACTTAATGCACCATTCTCATAGCTCACTCCAGGATGTGCTGGTGCTGCTTGACGATCACGTCCACTGGGCTGCGACTTCCCCAGGGCCGCCTCCACCTTCCCTCGAGGTCGTCGCCCGCCAGTTCGAGCGATCGCTTCAGGCACCTGCGAGCAAAGCAGGCTTGTCTTTTCGTATAAGTTACAAACTCCCCACCCTCTTCAGCCAGGCGGTGTTGAAAGTCGGAAGGGGCGATGGCGATGGATTGCCCCCAGTGTAGCACAAATTGCGCGCGTATCCGCTCACAGCATCTCATGCAGTTTTCTATTTCGTTCCGCTTCGGAATCGTCCAGAAAGTACGTCTGTATATCACAGACAGATTCATTAGGCCAATTACTGGAGCTCGACGCCCGCGAGACATGGGGTAGGCCAGCCCGCAGTACATGCATGCCCTGCAGGCAAGATGTTGCCTACCTAACAGGCGCTATGAGAGCTTGCAAAGGTTTGAACTTGGCAGAGGTTCGTAACGGTGAATGACAGACGCACTCTATGGATGATCCCTTACTGCGATGGGGGGGGGGGATAGAGCGGAGACCCACCGCATGAGGTAGATGCCGTGCGTGTTGAGCGCGAAGTGGATGGCGGACAGGGCGGCGAACGGGATGCCGCAGCAGACGAGCGCGGGGCTCTGGAACAGCAGGACGAGCGCGAAGCGCAGGGTCCTGGAGCCGGCCAGCGGGTCCAGCTCGCCCTCGGCGGGCGGCGGCGCGTAGATGAGGCGCGGCACGGGCGGCAGTGGTGGCACGAGCGACACACACGACTGCAGGATGACGAGCGCCACCAGGCCCAGGATGGTGCACAGCAGGCTCATCGTGAACATCATGTCGAGCCGGAACTGCAATCAGCGATCCCCACCGAGTGACTCATGAACCTCGGATCCGAGCCCCAGAGTTGTGAGGACACTATCCCCCAAGAGAAGTAGTGTCTCAATTTATTAGTGTCGCTGATCCGGCTATTATTGATTGCGTTCCGCAGTGGAGGGGGAGAATTGGAAAGCCGGGGTGGGGAGGCCTGGCGGGAGGAACGCCACAGCCGTGCGCCGTAAAGTACGGAATGGTGGGGAGATGCCGCCTACCTTACTACTCCCGGCCGTACGCGCTAGCTGACACATTTAACTAATCAGTAGGCCTACATGGTACATCGTATTGTGTTGTTTAATTTTTAAAACGTTAAATGTGTCATCTGCTTCAAAAAGACTTCTCACTAAAAAATGTTTTTGCCTCTTTTTAAAAAAGTGAAAATTCCCCTGAAATTTCCATGTAAAGCACCCTCAAAATTTTGTTTTTAAAAATACTGTATCTACGTGCAGCAGACCATGGCGTGCAGGAATCGGCTCTGCTCGGCGTCGCGCCGCCACATGCGCTTGTAGCGGTCCAGGAAGCGCTGGTGGGCGGTGAGCAGGCGGTGCAGGTCGGCGCCGCGGCCGCGCCACACGCGGATGTACACCCAGGTCGTGTAGAGCGAGCAGAAGTTGATGAAGCCGTCTGTCACCTCCTGCAACCTCCACCGGCAGCATCAGCATCACAAGTAGGAAGTAGGTTTTCTTTTCTTTTTCAGCAAGCATCATCCGCGTACCTCGAAGTCGGCCGAGTCGACGCAGAGCGTGAACAGGGACGCGAGCGTGAGCAATGCCGCCAGGACGGTGCACAGCCTGGAGTAGGCGCGGAAGGCCCGGCCGTGAGCGTGCTCGGCGTGCGCGGCCCCGCGGCCCGGCGTGTCCAGGCAGTGCGGCGAGCACAGGCAGATGCCGACGGTCTTGAGGGAGGTGGTGGCCAGTGAGAGCACCATCCTGCTCCCCACCCAGAAACGTTCGGAATGTTTTTGCGACAAACGTAAATGAATAAATATTTGATCCCGGGACAAATCCGAGGCGGTCTCCGAGCAGACCTTACTTTCCTGCCTTCCGTTGCCACCCCTCCCGTCGCGACTGGCCCGGCCCGGCCTCCGGTCTGGTCGCCGCTCCTCCAACCCTTCACTCCGTGACTCCGCGGTGGGCGGGGATCGCATCATCAAACATTCCGCCGGGACGCCCTCCCGCCCCTTATATCGCCCCCATTACCGACTTGATTTGTCGGCCACCGGGGCGCAGCCGGCCGGGGCGGCCTCCCCCATCATCGTCGCAGACCTTGACTCGAAATCTACCCCCTTCCCCCTCCTACAACCCTCCTCGCCCCTAGCACTATGATGGCTTGTTGGCTCCATCCCCGTTGTGGAGGAGGCCCAAATTCAAAGGACATCGATTTCTTCCAAATTTGCACAGGTGTATGTGTCCTTGGGCTCCGTGTTCATAGGAGTAGTCCTGGTTGGCGATTTGCGCGTGGGATCGCCTGGAGGGTATATGCAAACCCAGTGAGCGACCCGTCCCCGCTCTGAGCTGAGCCAGTTTCACGCGCGTGCTTGTGACCCGGGGGGCGGGGCTCGACGGAAGTCCGCTCTTGTCTCCGGGGGCGGCCGTAGGCTAGTAGCTCTACCCCTCGCAACGCATTGGCCACATTTTTCTACAGCCCCGCCCTTCCCGTCGCGTGGACCCATGGCAGCTAGTAGTCCGGCTACCACCACAGCAACATCTCTCTGTGTTAGTTTCGATGCATCCAGGCCCTTTCGGCTTGTCAAGGGGTTCAGTTTAAGCTGACACTGTCGGCTGTAGCTACAAACAGGGACGTGGTTTCATTCGACAAACTGCGTTAGCTCGGCGCCTGTGAGACTCGTGGTAGGCCAGCCCGCAGTACACGCAAGCATTGCAGACAAGATGTTGCCCACCTATCAGGGGCTATGATAGCTTGCATCGGCTGATCTTTGTGGCTTAATGACGGCGAATGGTGGACGTAGTTTCTGGAGGATCACATTACGGGCAATTAGTTTCTTACAGTAAAACAGCGTGATACCAAATGGAATATCAAAGACGACTTTGAAATGTGAGGGGTGTAAAACATTTGCGAATTTTACTAATAATACTTTATTCTTTAACGACACAAAGAAGCTACAATCTACGATTGGTAGTCTATTGTCTGCCTTGGAAATTACGTACACACATATGCAGATGCATTCAGTTAACAAAATGGAATGTGTCAGGTATTAGTCAAAAATGTATTCAAGGATTCACTGGGGATAGCTGGTATCTTTTGGAATAGTATCAAGATTCAGTAAATGCTTATATACTGCAGTGCAATTCTCTGAATTGCCTTGCATATCCCAATAAAACGGTTTTCAAAAAGCAAACAGAGGTTGTGGATTAAAGAGAATTTTTTTTGGAACAATACTTATTACAGGATACTGCTCATAACCAAAATGCAATTGGACAAAGATCAGCATTTGTTAAACACAGCTTAAAAATAAAATCATTGCACAATTATCAAGTGATAAAGTGATCACAAATCCTTTAACGATGAAAATAAAATAACACAGTATATATTGCAAATGCTATAATTTAACTAGGGTAGATCTGAATTCAAAAAGACCACTCTATCACAGATTCAATGATCTAAAAGTTGGAATTTATCCAGTTTTTCTAAAAGTAGTCATACATAATTAATTAGAAGTAAATGATCCACTAGTACAGGAAGTGAAAAGAACACACTATGCTGGAACATTACAATACGGTTTCAAACACTTAAGGTTATTTCATAAAAATAAAACCCTTTCAACAATCTTTCTCACCTCTCTTAAATTTAGGAGACCATGCTTAATAACAAATTTAAATGAAGGGGAAGAATAAAATCACTGGTTTAAAAGAAGTACAAAAAATAGATGCTTCTATTTGTAAAATGTAAAACAAGTTCACTGTTAGCAAAATTGCTAAAAAAACAAACAATACATTTGAAGTCACAAAGGATCTGATCACACCTGACTTAAATGTAACTTGCTAGCTGAGGTCAGTTCATTTGTGACTTAGACATAAAACGTTTTGTCTTGATACAATATCAATTGTATCAATTGGATGACATTCGAACCATCTTTAAATCTTAAATTAAAACATCAAGAGAAACAGTCACCTTAGGAGAACTGTACTCACTATTTTAGAGAGCCTACTTGGATTGCAATAGCAACACTAAAATAACAAACAAGAAAATAGAGCTAATGGTTAAATTATATGGAATATGGAATGTTAAATGTTTCTTGGTTTGATATCAATCTATCTAGTCTTCAAACACACTTCATCCAATATTTTCACATACAGTATCTATTTACAAATACATTCATATCACAAACACCATGACATCACTTCATTTTCACTTTACTCTTATCAAATGACAACAATTAGAAGGGTATATTTAGAACTTACCCTCAATTTCATTAAAAAATAATACATATGTTTTCCCTACTCTTACTATCTACCGAGCATTTAATCAACCCATCATATCTCTCAGTGGAATTCAAGTTATTGAGCTAGAGAACAACACTACCTAATATTAAACATAAGTAGCTTTCAATGACACTGTCACTTACCGCATGGACTGGACAATAAGTGCAGAAAAGAAGACAATAATGAAGATTGGAATTCCTGAAGATTTCTTTGATAACTGCTGAGCTCGTCAAAGATACTGCTGTTTTTTGTGAGTCTTTGGATGTTGGTGTGCCATGTGAGGGTATGTATGATGTGGTGAAGTTTGACGCGGGGCAGGATATGGATGACGATGCTGGAATGGCTGGGGAGAGGGATGGTGAGGGGCTGAGATGGGGTGGGTATGGGGTCGAGGATGTGAGTGAGCATGAGGGTGAGGGTGAGGGTGGGGGTGGGAATGAGACTGAGAAAGAGGCTGCACATGAGTGTGAGAGTGAGGTGGGTAGCTAGTTTGCATTTGAAGACCTGAGCTAATAGGCATTGATGCTGTACTTCTCACCAAATGTTCTTGCGGTGGAAGAGTTTTACTGCCATCATCAATGATACCTGCAACAATTTAAAGACGTCATTCAGATTGCAAGCACGTCATAACCACACAAAATTTAATTACATCTCAGTATTTTTAAAATACATACCAGTAGGGAGTATAGTTTTTCCTGGATTAATAACCATAGTAGGTGCTACCACAGGTGTAGGGTAAGAAGTCGTATTTTTTGAAGGAGGGGTAGCTTTTGTGTTTGGTCTCTCAGCTATCAAAGCTGTCTCTGTGCTGCCCTTAGGGCCTACTGCTGAGGATGAAGAAGCAGTTGTAGTTGAAGCCCCAGATCGACGCAACTGTAGAGCTCCTAAAGCTCGGCTTAAACTGCTAGCTGCAGATTTCTTGGGGGCTGGATGGATAAATGAAATATATTTGTACAATAAAAAGAAATATCAGCCTCACTTTTAAGGAACAAAATACTATATACATAAGTCAAATAATACAAAAATAAAAATCAAGGATTATTTTATTTTTGGTAATTTATTTAACTTACACATTTTGGACTTTGAGGAGCTTGGAGTTTGTCCTCCTGTTGCTGCCTTTGACCCAGAGGGTTGGCTGGGCGTTGCCTGTACAGATGGCGATGGAACTGTGGGAGGAAGGTGCCCAGGAGGATAAGCCACCATTTTCTTTGTACAATTTGGTGTCCCTTTTGCAGCCCATCTTTTTGGATCAACCTGAAACACAATCAGTGAGCAATGGTAGAAAGTGACAGCACAACATGAAATTGAATCACAAAATGAGAGAAGAAACTTACAGGAGGAGTACTCTGATTCAAAGAACTTGCTATTTCTTTGTTCCCTAAACATTTAAATAGAAAAATAAAAGGATTAACTCAAGAACATAAAAAAAGATTAATCAGAAAGAGGAGCCTTGCTAAACCCACCACTGTTTTTCCTTGGTAGAACAACACTTGCATGTCTCTTAATACGAGGTGGGGCACTTGGGCGTTGGTTATTAGCAACAGCTTTGGGAGAAATAACACTATTACCGGAGACACACAGCGCTAGGTCATCTTGTGAACCTCTTCGAAGAACACTAGCCACAAGTCCTGCACAATAGAAGAGTAGTGGAGATAAAGGTACAGGACAAATAGGAAGATTTGACTGCCTTAGCTCAGAGTAATCATCAAATACATACCGTAACTATAGGCCTCCTTGCCACCAGCTCCTCCAGGGTGATGGGCATTTACTCGATGCTGAGGAGAATTAGAGCTTCGTGGCAAATTTTGATGCTCAGCAGGCATGGGAGATCTCATGGGACCATGACCATTTGAGGGCACAGGAGCAGGGTGAGATGGTTGAGTTGTGATAGGACCATTGATTATGTGCCCTGAACTCACGAGCATTTGCAGCTGAGGCGCAGGTGGAGGAACTGCAATGTTGCTATTAGGGAGCAACAAATTTCTTCTATCTACTGTTGTCTGGGGAGAAATATGGGGGCTTGAAGAAACACTCACTGGAGCCCTCCTATCAACAGTGGTTTGGGGTGAAATTTGTGGACCCGTGTTAGAAGTCCTTCTATCCACAGAAGTCTGAGGGGAATGTTGTGACACACCAGCATGGTTTCTAGCACTGATTGACGATATTTCACTAGACATAAGAGCACCTGTCAGTTGATTCAAATGATTCCGTCGATCCACTGTTGTCTGTGGTGAACTATGAGGGCTTGAATGAGAGCTTAAGGGGTTTCTTCGGTCTACAGTCGTCTGAGGAGAAATGTGTGGACTGGTTGCAGCTGAGAGTGGATTTCTCCTGTCAACAGTGGTTTGTGGAGAACTATGAGGACTTGTGTGAGAACTCAAGGGATTTCTGCGGTCCACCGTTGCTTGAGGAGATTGATGAGGGCTTGGCAGAGGATTCCTTCGATCAAATGTAGTTTGAGGAGACCGATGAGGGCTTGAAGAAGCATGCAGAGGATGCCTTCTATCAACTGTAGCTTGAGGTGAATGATGTGGACTGGGCATGTTTGGCAGTGGGTTCCTTCGATCCACAGTTGTCTGAGGTGATCTATGAGGACTGTTTGGAACAGTCAATGGGTTTCTTCGGTCCACGGTGGTTTGAGGAGAGCGATGAGGGCTACTCAGAGAATTGGTAATAGGAGGATGTCTCCACTCTGCTGGAGTTGGTAGGATTTCAATGCGTTCATCCTTCTTAGGAACTCTGTCTAAAGACTTATATGGCTTCACAGGTAAGACATTTTGAATACCATCACTTTTCCTGGCCTTGAGTTCATGAGCAGTACCCTCTCTCCTCAGACATGACTTTAATTCCTGCAAACTCATATCACTGTTCCGTAAATTACTTTTCAAATCAATTGATGTAGCAGCTCGGTTCCATATAACACCAAATTGTTTAAAAGGATCACAGCCATTCTCATTTTGATGATTAGAGTTTGACGATATTGTTTCTCCTGTGAGCCCTTTAACATAAAGATCCACCTTTGGGGATGAACGATCACGTTTTACAACAATCACATTAGACTGGATAGCATCAACCTCATCCTGATCATTTGCATTAGATTTATATTTCATATGGTGCATTATTGGACCATCAACTTCATCAGCAGTTTCTGGGTTTTTTGGAGAAGCATGATTTGGTAGAACAGAATTTCCATTAGTTGAGATCTTGTCCACTGGATGCTCTGTAGTCTTTGAGATGGCCTGCCGAAAGCTGTCTCTTCTTTCTCTGATTCCTTTACCACTAACAATACCATCAGTGCGTTGACACCCTTCACCTGTGTAATCAACAGATCTGGAAAGAAAATCTTTGCAGTCCTGCAGTAACTTTCGGCCATCATCATCCAAGTGTAAAGAATGGCGAATTGGTTTAGGACTGTTTTCTGATTCAAAACTTCTTCGTCTCCTCAAAATAGCACCTGGAATTGCTTTGGATCTTATAGCTTGTGAACTAGATTTACTTGATCCATTTGAGGGAGATGTCTTAGATGACTGCTGAGCCAAAACAGAAAGTTTATGCCTCTCTCCACTTCCAATGATGCGTAGTGATTTGCTTCTTTTGATTGGGAGGGCAGGACATGGTGGAGTAACTACTGGAACAGGATTAGAGGCCTGCCTTCTTCCAAGTGACTGACTACGAGCTACAGGACTACGCTCAAACATGGCCTTTAATTTAGCAATACCAACAGGACCCCCTTGACTGTTACGTTGTTTCTGGGTTTGATTTTCCACTTCCTTTTCATGTTTAGAAGCTGCCATATGAATACGATTTTTTCTTGGAAGTGGTGGGGCAGGAGAAGCATCATCTGTTGTAATTGATTTGTTACCTATAACAGGAGAAAATACTAAGAGTATGAGACAATACTCAAAAATTAAAAGTAAATAAAATCACAAATCACAGCTATATGCAAACCTATAGTTTTGGGTTCTTCTATGGTGCGCACAGATTCATAAAGTGGTTCTTCATCACCCTTACTGCGTACAAGAATGCCATCAACATCTATATTCTCATATGGATGAGAATCTATAACACGGAGCTGCTCTTTGAAAAGTTCTCTCACAGCTCGGTGCACCAATATATACTGCTCAGTTGTTTGCACCATAGCAACACGTTGTCTTCGCATTTCTCGTACAAGAGTGAAAAGACTGAAATCCTTGGTCAATTT